TTCAAAAATTAACTGTTGAACTTTTTTATTGTTTTGCATACAAGCTGCTACAAGTTCCGTGTTTGCATGTGATTTCATCTGTTATATTGTCCAAATTTGGTATTACGATTAAACTCTATACCTCCATGCTTTAAGAACTCCAGTCCATTATCAAATTTATGAACAAGATATTCCAGATCTTGAGTATTGACAAAGCTTTATCGATGTTTACATCTGTTATAACTTCTAAATCTTTATACTCCTGAAGTAATTTAATAATAATTTTCTGACTCAGTTTTAACCTGTACATTGTTATTTTTCATTAGGTCTTTCAGTTCTTCCATTGTTCGAAATTTCTGTTTTAATTTCTCATCGTGTGATTGGATTCTCATTTTTTATATTCTGCAAAGCTTCTTTCAATTCTTGGTTATTAAATTTAGATTCATTCTCAATATTTTCATTTTTGGTGATTTATAAAGCATTTGATTTATTCTCAACACGTAGTAGTTTGCTTCCTTTAATATCCTGTACTGAGGTTTATTCGAATATGCAACCCTTGTGGAATCACTTGCCTTTAAATAAATATGCTTTTAGAAAATCATTCTGTAGCAGCATGAGAAGTATCAAATTTAAAAAAAATGACTACAATAATAAATATTAAATGATGTTTTAGAAATACAAGCACAAGAATTCTATTGTTATGGATTTATGTGAGCTTTATATTGGGAAACACACACACATATATATATATATATATATAATATATATATATAATATGTATATATATATATATATATATAATGTATAATAAATAAAATATGAATAAGTCTATATTAACATATATATACATTTGAATATTCCTAACCTTCTTTTACACTTGCCATTCATTCGTAGCAATGAACGTAGAAGATTTTGTTGCATCTTTTCCGAGTGTTATTCCACAAAACAGGAGTATCAGAAAACACTTCATTTTACTTTTTAACATACAAAATCTATACATTAATCGACATTCAATGAAACAATATTTATAAAGAAGCAGTACTGATTTCAGATTTACTGAGTGACAGTTGTGTTTGACAGTTTACACGTCAACCGGCGGCACGTGGACCAATCACGAAGCAAGAACGCAAGAACTACGTCCTATATGAAAGTGCTCAGTGGTACCCAACCTTTTTGTACTGCACCCCCCGTTTTTTTTAAAAATGCTAGCCCTCATTATTTTTCTAACAATCTAATTTCATGATATCAAATTGACTGTTTTGGTACATATTCGAATCCCTTGCAGCAGCCTCGCTTTATTTAATGTTTATAATGAAACTGCACGACACTATTTTTTTTTCCTGAGATGTTATAATGATTGTTAAGTAATTCGAGGACGCTGATTCCAAAAACAGTAACAGAAATTTGCTAATCGCTCTAGTTTTTGAGATATGCCAATGTTCCAGTTTTACCTCAAATTACAATAAAATAATCAACATATTTTATTTTACGCCTTCAAAAGCTTTATTATTAATTTTTGGAGCGTGGCAAGGCCTGACTGATTTCGTCATAAGCTCCAACATTTGTCACCCATCCTGTGGAAGTCCCACCTTCCTTGATATCGCTCCTCCAAAGTCCTGATGTCTTGGTGGATACTCTCGCTCAGCTCTTTGCTAATATCTCCAAGATTTTTTCAAGTAGAGTGCGGGTTTTAAATTCAAATCAATTACTTACATCAAATATATCAGTTTTCATTTATTCCTGTCTTCGCTTTTAACGTTGGTTTCCACATCCATTACATGGTAAACAGAAGTTGTTGACGTTCTAGGTTGTTCATAATTAGCATGGATAGGGGTAGCGTAGCTGATTGTAAGTACACGTTGTCTTTTATGGCCCTTTGCAACTATTTCCTGAATTTATTTCATTGATATTTACCATACAGAAAAAAACAATGGTCGTGGTGTATCTGAAGTTTTTTTCTAAATAACGGGGGTATTGAAATTATAGCATCTCTGTTTCCATCTAGATAATAATTTTTTATATAGTACGAAGAACCCATGCTTTATCTTTGTTTCGTAATTCAGTTTTAAAGTGGTTGAAATACGATGTCATTACGTAGTTCGACTTTCCGGTATTTGTCGAAAACATTTTAACCACAGATGTAACAAAAACTATCTGTATTATGCAAACAACGTCTTAGAGTCGAAGCCATACCAAAAACAGCCGATAAAACTCTTATTTATTCGTTAAACTGCAATAATCATAAACTGGAGCTGTTCCGGAAAAACGGAAGGTATATTTGAAATCAACGTTCAATCCTAAGTAGATAAAGTTCGAGGATGCCAATAAATGCCATTTTTGTCGCGCAGTGTTTTCAAATGATGGAAATTACATAATGATTTGCATATTTAGCGCATTACAATTATAACAATAAATAAAATGATGCAAAACTTACTTGAAACTGATGATGTTCTGTTCATTATTCCTTGGTGTTCACTGGATTCTTAGAATTTCCTATAATGAAAAAATTTGAGTTTTACAAGCAAAATTAATAAAATAGTGTCTATATATATACACAAATATTGATGGTTATTAATAAAATTTTTTAAAAAATTATTTAAAATTTACCTATGAGATCCATGTAATAAGGTGACCATACGTCCCGGATTGGCCGGGACAGCCCCAATTTTCCGCTTTGCGTCCCGGCTTTTTCTAGAAGCAATATTTGCCCCGGTTTTAGGTATTTTGTACCGGATTATCCCGGATTTTTCATTGGCAATGTTTTGAATGCCAATATTTTTTTAAATATATTTCAACTAGAAAATTTGAACCGAAAAAATGTATATATAAATTTTTTACGCACGAACACCACATACCACTTTTTCACTTCATTCGCAATCTTACTAGTCGAGTCAAAACAAATATTTCAAACAGAGAACTATTTTTTTATTGTTTAAACAATATGTATGTATTGTGTAAGGAAACAAGTTTTTGTGTAATTCTCTTGAAAAAAAAAGTGAACTATTGTTTTTAATAAAATAGTTAATATAAGTTATAAGTATAATAAGTATAATAAGTATAATAATGAATTAATATGATGGAAATATTTTTTCAACATAAAAATTTTCTGTATAACTGTTGCTGGACAACTGAACTTTTATGATAAATTATTCTTACCACGAAAATCAATGAACGAATCACTTTTTTATTCAAAGAAAACCACTGAAAAATTTATTTCTTCACATAAATAGTATATGTATTATTTAAACAATAACAATGATTATTTCGCCCCCTGAAAGATTTCTAAAAATAATATTTAAATAATAATATTTAAAAAAGAAAAAAATATTAACAAAATCGGATCTGCTTCTGAGGACTTCCTAATTTTGTCAGTTCTCTTCTTTATTAACTCGCCTTATAAACAAAAATATGTTTAAAGAAGTTCATTTTATTTATTTCCTTTTCGACGTAATATTTAAAAATATTTTTTGAACAATACATGGGATAAAGAAAACGTTTATACCATAATTCACGAAAAATTAGTGTTACGTATTACATATATGTTATAGTTAATATGTATAATAGAAAATTTAAAATTGAGTTAATTTTAAATTCACTTAAATTCATTTTTGAGTCCCTCGAAACTAAACTGATATTATGAAGTTATGAAATAGAATATTACAAGGTACACACTTACAATCCAATAAGGCAATGATTACGAGTAATAAAATAATAATCAATAACGTTATAATTTAAGTTAGACAATAACTACTTCTTCTTGGATAGTGTTCGTTGTTTTTCAGCAAACTCTACCAATTTTTCTTCGACTGCCAGCCCTTTCCTCCTGCGAACAGCGTCCATGTAAGTTCTTGCTCTATTTGCGCTGTCGGCTTTTTCGCCAAAATGAAGGTACTCCTCCTCCGTCGAAGGGACCCAGTAAGGGTCAATATCTATAATCTTTAATTGTAAATATTATTAGTATTATTTTGTGCATTAGAAATATAGTAGATTATAAAAACTCATAATGATAACTTAAGAAATTTAGATTTATTATAATACAGTAGAATTACTTGCTCTTATTGTTAGATTGAGCCCTGTGTCGGACTGTCGAAAATTCCGGACTATCGGGCGGTAATTATAAAAACAATTAGGTTAAAAATTAGTAGGAAATACAAACAACAAAGCTTATTTTACATTCATTAGAATGAAATATTTGTAAATTTTTAACAAAAAATTCTAGGCGTTAGACGAATTCTAGTTTCTGATTGAAAATTAGTGTTACGTGTTTTCCTTTCTCTTCTTCTGAATAACAAGGCATAGCAGATACGTTTAGGTATAACATACTAAAATTACTACATTCTACTATTAACTACTGATTTTTAATAATTTTTCAAACAATACTAATAAATTTATTGTCGGGTGAACAGAATAATACGTTCTCTCCTAGGTTGGAACTTTTAATAAAATCTGATACTAGTACAAAATTTGTTGATTTTAGCATTTGCTGTCATAGTAGACATATTATATTTGGGAATAACATACTAAAAACACAACAATCTACTATTAACTACTGATTTTTAATAATTTTTCAAACATGACTCATAAATTTCTTGTAGTGTAAACTGAATCTCCTAGGTACTTTGTTGGAACTTTTAGTAAAATCTGATACTAAAGTACAAAATTTGTTGGTTTTAGCATTAGCTGTCATAGTAGACATATTTGGGTATAACATAATAAAAACAACAATCTACTATTAACTACTGATTTTTAATAATTTCTTAGACAGGACTCTTAAATTTCTTGTTGTATAAACTGAATGATAAGTTATCTCTCAAGTAATTTTTTTGAACTTTTAATAAAATCTGATAATAATGTACGAAATTTGTCAATTTTAGTAATTGTCGTCATAGTAGATATGTTTAGGTGTAATATACTAAATATACAACAATGTACTATTAACTACTAATTTTTAATGTTTTCCTAAACAAAACTTAAATCTTGTTCAAGTTTTGGAAACATGGTCACTACACAGATGGTTAAATCTGCTGATATATGCGCACTGTGCCTTTGGGTTCAGGAGACTAACTTAAAAGAACAACCGAATACTTTTTAGAAAGTAAAGGCTACGTATTTCGTAGAACATACTTTGATCATGAACCTAGACACAACGGAATTTACCTTCCGAATGATTCCGAACTACCCCGAGAACGTTCTAATAGCCCTCTTACGTTTTTATTCGCTATAAAGGCACAGTTTTGAAAAAAAATTGAAAAAATGCCGGTCTATTGGGTATTCTGAATAGTTGGGTGCCGGATTAAAGGACTTTGAATGCACATGTTAAATCTCGATAAAATGCGAAACTAAATCTATATTCATAGTTGTACAGACTTAAGCATAATTAATGAAAAATTGGACTTTTGTGCCCCGCCTTACCTTATGTTGTAACCACAGGTGAAGGTGGAAAATTGTAATTTTGAAGATTTGTAATTGAATTGAAGTTTATTTGATATATGTGCCCTAATTATATTCATGTGCAAGTGTTAAAAACAGCTATTTCAATATCACAAACATAAAATCTAGTTTTATTTAGTTGTACTATAGGTAAAAATAATAAATATGAGTTATAAATCTGAGCATTGAACAGAATGTGCAAATCGCAATGCATGTTACTTTATCACCTTTTCATCGGTAAAACAGGATTATACAGTATCCAGTAATTTAAATTAAATCTAAAGGTTATTTAGTAATAATCGTACGCACTATGGAGACCAGATTTCTAGTGTGGGAGGCTGCGGACGCGCCAGAGGGCTTAGCCTGGTTTATAATCAGAACGGTGTGGGTGCGCATATTTCGACGCAAACACTTTATAACAAGATAAAATGAATAAATATCGTATATATATATATATATATATATATATATATATATATATATATATTAAATCCATGTTGATAACTTAAAAGCACTTTCTTTAGTTTACGACTTTCTAGTGTATCAAGTCCAGATGCGACTTGGTACATAAACCTTGGTGTAGGTTTAAAAAATGAAAACCTAAAAATGACATAATTTTTTCTAGTGCATTTCAGAAGCCAAATCTCCTGTGAAATAGACTGTAACCAAAATCTGCCAAAATGCTAAAACGTTTGACTGCACAGCAAATACATAGCATTTTGGCAGATTTTAGTACCAAGAAAGAAGCGTAACATAGCGTTGCCATAACAACGCTATATTACGGTCTATTATTTATATATTTATATCAGAGAATTTGCCCCTTACTCACAATAATCTCACATTTATGTATAAGCCAAACTGTCTCCTAAGTGGGCGATATCGCCCCCTGGTGGATGATTGTAATATCCAGGGGGGCAATAAGAGGCTTCTAACTAAATTTTATTAAATGTAAGTATTGTTTTAAGTAGCGTTTTATTTGCTATCACTGGTAAAAAATTTTAATTTAGAATGTAAGGTTACAGCAAGTAATATAGCGCACTATAACTATATTATTAAAATTAAAAAAAGGATTTTTAGAGATAATATAGATAGAAAAAAAATTCGTAGGAGGACGCTAAAAATTTTGATCTTTAAAGGGGGCGTTGGAAGAAATAAGTTTGAGAAACGCTAGTATGAGCGCAAGCTTGAATGTGCGAGGGAAAAACATATGAACTGAAAATGAGCGAAATGCGTTGGCCTTTATAGTGTTATATTTAAGTTTTTGTTTTTTTCTCGAAATTTTTCAATAATAAAGTTTTTAAGTATTTAACGATTTCATTATCCTGATTTAATGCGCTAACTTTTGATGAAATTTGTCAACAGACTTTAGTACATTTTTTTGATGGAGGGCCTCTCAAACTCGACCGTTTTTAAAATACATAATTAAATTCACAGATTAAGAAAAAATCTTGTAAACTTAGGGGCAATCGTGTTATTTTTTTTAGTGCGGTCTTAGAAATGTTGGGCACGGTGACGGTTAAATTTAAACAACTCAAACAAACATGAATAACACATTTATATATTTAATAATAATTAACCATAATCACCAAAAAATTGTCATTATTTCACCAAAGCGCTAAGTTTTACTTTAAAGCTAATGATTTCCAAGTAACGTGAATTTTTTTCCTATTTTTTTTCAGGACAGTTGAAGTCAACACTATCACCTCGTTTTGGCTTGACGTTAAGTTCTGGGATATATATAGGTATATAGGTATAGGTATGCAAGTGTATTCATTCATACCCATATAACCATATCATCAACTTATTTATATGAATATTACAATCAGTATCATATATTAATAACTCATTTATGTTTGCTACAAATGAGTTTTGTCGAGTATTAATAATTTTACTAATCTCTGAAAAAATTATAAAAACAAGCATAAATTGCTATACTTTAAATAAACTAAATTGCCTTTTGGCAATTCTGGTAATAATATTTCATAAATTATAGAGAAATTAGGAGTCAGTAATTTAATTTTGAAAATCTCTTCTTCGATGAATTTGATAAAACATCGTATCGTAGAGTTGATGGTCAAAAAAGAAACTAAAGTCTAAAAAAATATTACAAGCCTATGAAAAGTGCTCTTTTGGTGCATTGAAGTGCACACTTAAATAAAATACATTTCTATAATATGTGGGTAGAATGAAATGTGTTGAATAAATTGAATTGAATGAATGAAATTGAAGTTAACTATAATTTCGAAATAAACAATTGAAAATTGTATCGTCACAGTTTTAAAAGTTGCTAAATCTGAATTGACTAAGTCAAATATTTACACATTTAGAAGTTGATGCAACTTGCTCAAGGAAAAATACCATTTATAACTAGTTTTATGACACCTAATTCAGCCTATTGATTGATTGTTCTGTTCAGAAAACCAGACTACAAAACAATAATCTAAAATAAGCCTGATTATTGAAGGGTATAGATAATATAGCATCTCCAATTTATATATATATATATATATATATATATATATATATATATATTATATATATATATATATTATATATATATATATATATTATATATATATATATATGTGTGTGTGTGTGTGTGTGTGTGTGTGTGTTTATGAATCCTGCAGCAATATAACAAACAAAACCGTACTGCTAATGATGATCCGAGAACGGAATTCTAAAGATACATTTTTTCCCTTCGCTCTAAAGAAAACAATTAATTAAGGCTTGAAATGATCATAAAATCGATGATAAAAACGCGTTACGTCTCTCACTACAAATCATATTAGTCTGCGTCTCAATAAAAGGAAACTGCAAGAGAGATCGCTGAAACTTGGGATGTGTTAGCCAGATGGTAATAACCAGAAAGAATAACCGAGTGCTGCCACTCTCATAAATATTATAATGGATTCAGAAAGAAGGACGAGAGAAGACGAAAGAAGATGAAAAAGTAAAAAAAATAAAAAAAATAAAAAAATAATAAAAAAGTAAAAGAATAACAACAATAAGGCAGAGGAACGCGTCGCGTCGTACGGCAGCCACAATTCAGAAGCCGATGCACAAGCCCAGAAGCTATCGGCAGGAGAGAAAATCTCTGATCGGACTAACGTATTTAAAATCACAAGAGAACCGATAAGCCGAGCATTCAAATGGCCTAACAGAGATGGACAAACTCATCACAACTGATTAGTATTGTCGCTAATAATTGTACAATTAATTAAAAACCAATTTACATTGTCATGTAAAATATACGCAACTGAAAGCATGTTTTGCTGCAAAATTATTAAAAATCAGCAGATACATATACAGAACCATTTACATATACATATACAAAGCATTTCAATTCAACAATAAACAGAATGAGGTAATTTTAATTTATTTAGCACAATTTTGTAATATTTATGAACTTTCTCTAAACAAGTTAATCGCAAAAAACTCATTAATGAAAACTTCTGGATATCTTTTCGTTTTTTTATTTCATCATATAATTTACAACTGTCTGA